TCTCTCTCTCTCTCTCTCTCTCTCTCTCTCTCTCTCTCTCTCTCTCTCTCTCTCTCTCTCTCCACAAATCCACAAAATTTAAAATTTGAATTTTAAATTTTTCCTACAAATCCAATGAACTTCATCCACTAAATGAGGCATGCCTAAAAATATAAAAAAAACATCTTTACACAAAATAAATTGACCAATATACCAAACATTCAGGGGTATTTTGGTCAATTTACCTCATGTAAAATATTTTTTTATATTTTTTCAGGTGCACCCATGGGGGGTGAACACACCCTCAAATTTTCATGTAAATCCAATTCATAGAAAAAAAGCAGTAGGTTTCCATTTTTCTCCATTTTAAACTGTTGGGCATACACATATGCGCAAGCGCACAAACTAAACATGAATCGGATAAAACAGCAAGGATATGAAGTATGCTGAAACAAACTACGCCGCAAGAGCCTTGCAAATGCTTGCCCATGCAAAAAGCTGATATACCACACACACACACACACACACACACACACACAACCTAAACATGAATCGGAAAAAAGCAGCGAGGGTATGAGGTATGCTACAACAAACTACGCCTCAAGAGCCTTGCAAAGGTTTGCCATGGAAAAAGCTGATATACCTCCAATGCAGTCGCATTTTTCAACCCATGCTTATTTGTGGCACGCTTGGCTCTAAGATGTTTCAATGAACTTTCATAAATCATAAATTGAATTGATGGATTGCACACCTGCCACCCCAGCAATATGAAATAATATTATCACCTTCTGTAAAGATTCACTTCAACAAAGTTTTTAATGGATAGTCCTAATTATCAATGAAGAATACACAAACCATGATAAGTGTTGGAATGATGCCTTTCCAGAAACCTGATATGCCTGCTTCCCTATAAACCTCTCCTACCTATCAAAGAGAGATGGCACTGAGGGTTGAGAACATATGGGTAAACAAATGGGTAAACATATCGGAAAAAAAACATTGGGGTAAACCAAATCCAAGGAAACAAAAACAAGAAATGTAAAGCAAAAGGAAAAGGGAAAAAAAATTAAGAAAATGAAAACTTTAACAGAAGGACCACAAATAGTATTTAGCATCATGAAGTACTATTTAACCTAAGTTAAAGCATATCCGATTGAATGAAAAGAATAAGTTAAATTATGGTGGCCAGTGCTCATATGATCAAATCTCTAGACATAAGTCTTCATAATCCAAGTGAGCCAAAGGAAGTAAATTCCTAATTTTCCATTCATATGCAGGGTAGCCCGCATGCTCTGTTACATAATAGAAAAGACCCCTCTACTCACCCAGAAAGAAAAGAATGGGAAAGCTTTGACATTCCATGACACCCAATCAATGCACGCTTTATACGAATTCCATGCAAAAACAAACTTCAAGAAAATATATACCCATGCCCAAACATGCCAGCATATAAAGGCGTGCCCACCACCCAATACAACATTTCAACCAGCATCTAGAATTAAGAAAGACTTTTATATGCATGCATCAAGTGTAGAAAGTTGAGAATAAGAGCCATTTATACAAACCGCATTCCGTGCTCCATAAGGACAAGGTTTCATCAACTCAATTTCTGCCAACTTCTTTTGGAGAATAGTCTGATCAGTAGAACTACTCCCAGAATACTCACTTATTATAGCATCCCTCCTTGCCTCCATGATTTTTCTTTGTGCTTGAGTATGTGTCTACAAAAGCAACAATATAGTAAAAAATTAACAGGTCTATTGCCAATTTCCTTGGATGTAAAAAAAATGCTTAAGTCAATTCCAATTATTGCAGCAGTGAAAGCAGAGCATCAGCAAAAGTGGCAAGGTGTCCGAATCGAAACAACTAAATTTCTAAGTCAGTAAACAAGAAGACATCTGACTGTACATCAAGAGGATGATCACCAAATCAGGCTGCTATTTCTAGGTAAGAATTTATCCTGGGCAGATATACTGGTTGCTGTAGGACAGTTGTAAGTCTTGATTAGTGTTAACCAGGAATTCTATTTTGCAAAATTAAATAAAATGAGGATGGAGACCCTCTAAAGCACAAGGCTCTAAAGAACTATTCATGGACCAACAAAGTCAATCTTTAGATGAATCTAGAAATTCCAAAAGAATCAGAACAGAAATTAATGTACACTGCATGGCAGTTGTTTCGATGTCCAGTTGTCCACAAAAGACTTCTCTCCTTCCACATACCATTGGTATGATTTACTGTAAGCTAGAACATAACACACGCCAGAAATATTCGTATTTTTTGCATAGTTCAAGCTGAAGGATAGGAATTTCAAATAGAATGAAATCAGGAATCATTATTAGCAAGGTCCAGGAAGAATGTAACAGATATACAGAGCAGTAAAAGTGAGGCGACATAGGTTGCACATTAGCACCCATCCTTGTATCGTGACAATTTTATCTTGTGTCAACTTATCATTTATGATGCTACTTACAAGGCACAGATCCTTTCTCAACCTTCTATTAGATGCTTAGGTTCTTGGTTATCACAGTCTAAAGCATGTCCGCTTATCCTAAGACTTAAGCACGAGAGTTCGTCAAGAATGTTAAATGCATCAGATGAATCCAACTCGCTGAACAATTGACATATTGCTTGTTTCTCAGCCTTTCAGTTCGAGAAACAGATCAATTCCTCTTGGACCTAAAATGAAATTCGGAATAGGTTCTAATGGATGCATATCAAACTCTCCATCAGATAGGGTCAATGTCCCAAATTTTGAGTTCAAATGTGAGTTCCATTGAGAGTGACTCTCATGTTTAGGGATGGAAGCTTAAAGAACCCATAGAATGGAGATAATAAGGAGATCGAATGGTTGAGTAGAAACACCCCAAGTTACTGTGAAATGGCTCTACTGCACGTCATTCCCGTGTGTGACTGCGCATACTCATGCATGCGCACGGGCAGGTAAGTGGGTGTGGATCCATGTACAGAAAACTTCACATGACAGTTATTAACATCAAATAGAACAACTAAAATGCATCTCTTGATTCTCATTTCCAGAATACCTGCATACGCGTCACAATAACCCATATTGGATTCGTAAACAACACATTCAGGCACCTGCATCAAGAGATAGGTGGAATAATTAAATGGAACTCGGCAGGAAATGAACAGATGAGAAGTATAGCACCCCCATGCCCAAACCTCAAAAAGATGATACACTATATCGTAAATTTCCTTAACAACAACATAACATATTCAGATAAATTTAAAAGTAAGAGTAAATTTAATCACTATAAACATATGCTCACAATCTATGTTTCAAGAAATGCAAATTCACGGACATTGCAGTTCTTCTGCTAACCACAAAACGTACCCAGCAATAGCTGCCACCACAAGCCAAGAAAACATTCCAGGTGTTCCATCACCTACTCCTTTCTTTTTACGGGCCACCGCAATAGCCTCTGCTTTGTTCCTGAAAAACTGATAGAAATAGTAATATATGCCCTGCACAAACAAATCAAATAATTACGTATGGAATCTTAACCACAATCAAACTAGCAGCAATTTTTGTCAAATGGTGTTTTTTTCTAGGAAATGTATACAACGAGGCCATTTACTTTTAGCACAAAGAGGTCGCAATCACTCTTGTTCTTTAGATTTCAAATTGGGTGGTTGTAAGCATGTCATTGACTAAACTCAAAAGTCAATAAAAAAAATCTTCTCAAACTTCGTAATACACCCCAGGCCATCCAATTTGACATCTAATGGCTAGGAGTAAAATAGTCTCATAGTACACAATCCCTTTTTTTGATTTGTAATTAACCAAATGGCAATTTAGTCAATTGCATTTGCTCTCAAGGGGTATTTGATTGTTCCAATCTGAAGTTCTAAACTATAATGTGACTATGTGGTGTGAATTCTGATGGTGTGGTGACAGGGGTAAGGATAGTAGTAGTTCTGCTGAAGTGGGTGAGTAGAGGTGGTGATGGTGGCAGTGATGTGACGGTGGTGGTGGTGGTGGTGGTGGTGATACGATAGTAATGGTGGTAGTGGTGGTGGTAGTGGTGGAGAGTAGTGCTTGTAGTGATGATGGTGGTGGTAGTGGTGGAGAGTAGTGCTTGTAGTGATGCATGCGCACTAACCATTGAAGCCCAACCCACTTAAAAAGCAATAGTGACTAGTATCCATGTACACTAACCATTGAAGCCCCAACCCACTAAAAAAAAAGTCCAAGAACATTGGTTTCCTTCCCTACATCAATGAATGAGTTTACTGTAACATCCCTACACGCAAAACCATCCCTTTAAATTTGGTGATGAGCTCCTCCATCCATTTTAGTGTAGGTCACTTGCAAGTTGCAATCAATAACAAATTTTCTAGCCCATGTAAGTTTACTAAGAGAAAATCAAAGCCCCAATTTTACAAATTCTTAAAACAAACAGAAAAAGAGAATAAAATGGCAATGACCTGAGATGCCGCGGTTCCGAGCAGCGAAGGCTTAAGGCCACTGTATAGCCCTCCCCACCCTTCATTTCTTATAACCTACAAATAAATGCCTGTTCATATAAATCAATAAACAAATAAACTTGAAATTCGGTTTCGAAAGAGTAATTTTAAGAAACCCAATCTTCATAAGTTTAGAAATTAGAAGACAAAATTTTGACCCAAAAAAAAAAAGTAAAATTACCTCAATAATCTGATATAGAGTTCCAGGTGAAACCCTCTTAGGTGGTTTGCTTTCTGAGGCAGAATCACTATTCTTCCTATTTTTGGCAATTCTCTCAGTCTGTTGCCGCGTGTTCACCTGCGAAAGAAAACCACCCAAACACTGTTATCAACTAGCAACAATTACCACATTGAAATGAAGAGAGAGAAAACCAAGATGAATAGAGAGAGAGCATTTATGCAATCGGCAACAATAATCACCTTGAAATGAAGAGAGAGAAAACCAAGATGAGAAGAACGGCAAAAATAAACACATTGAAATGAAAAGAAAGAAAATCAAGTCGAAGAGAGAGAACATTTCTGCAAAAATAATCACACTGAAATAAAAAAGAGAAAAATAAAGGTGGCGAGAGAGAACTTTTCTGCAAAAATTAAAATGAAGAGAGAGAAAATCAAGATAGAGAGAGAGTACGGTCTGCAAAGGATAAGTGATGATCTGAGCTATGATGCCTCCTCCGGCTCCGGCCAAGCCATTGAGGAGCGCATTCGACATTGTGAGCTACTTTCACATTATGATTTCGCACCACAAACTTTTAATATTAGAAAAATAAAACTTTGCGATTATGAAATTGTGAATTAAACACATGATATATGTGGCCATGGGTGCATTTTTTTGTTCATTTAAAGTTATAGAAATTAATTTTTTGTCTGTAAGTTCCGTAATTTCACTGCAAGGTGTTATCCTTCCGGTACTTATTTTTTCTAATTTTGCCTTTAGTTTGACGTTATTATTATTATCTTTTTTAGTTTGACGTTTTAAACATGCCATCCAAAATTTTAATTTTTTGTTTACATAGACAACATTAGTCAAAAATAGGACTATATGATGTTCCTTGTACAAGACCACCCTACAAATAGCAGTTTGATGCATAAAACATCGGGCTACCCAAAATATCAAAATGGGCAAAATCAAGAAAAAAAAAATATCTTTATATCTCTTGTTTTAAAATTTTATTTCTAGTTAAACCTAAAATTTCAAAATATATTTTTTAACTCATTGATCACTTTAAACATATTTTTTAACTTTAACAAATGTGAGAAATACATTTTTTTTTTAAACCTAATCGTTTCTCTTTCTTCACTTATGTACGCAGCAAATTTTTCTCTTTCTTTCTCTTCGTGAGTCTCTCACTCTCTCTCTCTTCTCATATTTCTCCAATCGCATCTCTCTCTATGCCCAATAACCTCTCACCTCCACCTCTCACCTCCACGAAGCCATTCTCTCTATAGAAGTTTTGAGAGGATGGTTTTTAGAAAAAAGTATATCTTGTTAGATTTGTTTGGTTTAAAAAAATAAGTTTAAGAAACAATTTTTATACTCGAAGATATTTTTCAAAACCTTGTGTCTATTATGAAATGAAACCTAAAAATAGAAGGTATAAAGATATTTTTTCTATATATGTATATATTAAAAAAAAAAAAAAAAAAGCAGAATTAGACCACATGGTAAAATTACCAAACATATAGATCAAATAGTAAATTTGATAAATTTTTGCATTCTGTTTGTAAGAAACGCTTTTATTTTGTTTGTTGACTTCTTTAGTTTAAATTGTGAAGGGTGTTGTTTTAGATAGAGTCAATGTAAGGCACACCTATTAATCTTGGTAAAAGATATTGTTTGGTGTTGAAAAACTTTACGATGACTTAAAATTTAATTTTTACCTCTGATTATAAAATTTTAAACTCTTATATTGTTTTGGTATTAAAAAAATTTATGATGACTTAAAATTTTATTTTATTTTTAATTAAAATTTAAAACTCTACCAGTGGTGTAGATCAAATAGATCCATGAACATTTGAAAAATTTGCATACGAACTTGAAGATAATATGTTACAATATACATTATTTTTAAGACTTAAAATCTTTTTTTCTCATATCCGTATATTTGGAGATAGACATGATCAAATGTAAAGTTTGTTGACATCAAAAAAACATTTTCGAGTGGATTTTTTAGGTGCAACTCATCTCTACAGTACAAAATTGACAACTTATTTGATTTTCCAATTGTAAATGAATAAATGGGAACATAGATTTTGAATTTCTGCAATGAAAATAGTTTGGAAAAATGTTTTTCTTAAAGTATTAAGAAAGAATATTAGTTTCCAATTTGGGCAATGCCTCACTAGATTAGAATTGAATCTAGTGTGGCCCTTACACGAAAGTGGGCTCAAATGACTCAATCCCAAGTAAATCTAGAAGCCTCGCAATTGGTTTCCACCACGTGCAAATTGAATTTTGATGGGAGTCCAAAAGAACCCTAGCCTCCAGAATTGGAGGCCTCATTATAGATTTGGGCCTATTCTTAATGGGATCTCAAGAGCATTGACCTCTAAAGACTATACTTTCAAGTTTCAACAGAGAATGAAACTCAGATGTAGATTTATTAGCCAAGCAAGGAGTGTAAAGGCCTATCTCAAACTTTTTCTTTCAGAAAGAAAATCGATATCTCTATAAGTGTTGACAAATTCGGCTGGTCCAACTCGAAACCGGCCAGTCAAACTGGAACCGGGCACTGGTCGATCAGGTTTTGGTCGGATTAGGTGGTCCGACCGAGATTTTTTATTGTTTTTGGAATTATTTCTAAGATACCCCTGGGCGCATTCAATTTTTTAAAATACATTCTTCACTACTTTCTAATTTCATTTGGATGTGTTTTATTTAATTATGCTTCAAATATAATTTTTACATTTTTTATAAAATTTTATATATTTTTCTTTTACTTTTTTAATACTTTTTGATCTTGCCCAGTATGAACCTGCCAATTTATCAGTTACTTGGACCCGGCTCTTGGTCAGTTTCCAAAATCCGGTTCGATTTTTATTGAACACCGATCTCTACGCATTCTCCCCTATTTCTTTTTATACTTCTTCTCTAACCGAAGTATGTGTTTCCTCACGTAGGCTGCTCTGGCCCCATGGAATTCCTCTCTTCTCCTTTCCTTCATCACTCAAACCCTTTTTATATTTTCTAGAGTTGTATAAAATTTGAAGTTAACATTCAAAAACAAAAATACAGTCTTCAAGGGTGTGATTCTCCATGACCAAATTTTTTAATTGTTCCGGGAAACAAATCATTTCCATAAGAATAAAAGAAAAAAAAGGCTAGTTATAGATTTGTGGGCTTCATTCAATCCAATGGCTTTTCCCTTCATGACTTCTTCTCGTTGGGTAAAAGGCTTGTGGGTTCCTCCGAGCTATGCATCATACGATGAACTCCGCTGCAAATCTCCTCTGTATATGCGACTCTGGACCCTGTTGTTGCTCGACATAACACAAACATAAAGCAAGAGTCCTACAGGCACTATCTTCATCCTCTTTTTCCCGTCTGTCAATCTACCACATGTCTTAAAGATTTTTTCGCAATATCAAAAACACTTTCTTATTTCTCAATTCATTATATTCTAAAGATGAAGTACTTCCCCTTTCATCAAAAAGGCTCAAATCCCCACTGACATACCACAGATTTTTTTAGAAAAAGGGTTGGGGTCTTGGTGGTAGCATCCCCACACCCAGTTACCACGTCGTGGTATCCATTTCTACCGCTGAAGAACCATTTCTACCGCTGACATCTTTCAATTAACACTTTCAAAATGTAACTCCTTAATCTACTTATGTGATACGAAAACAAAATAGATTTCCAAAAATCAGTTTGTGACTAAACGTATTTTCAATATTTTTCAAAAAAGATGACAAAATATAAAAAATAAATATTCATGGCTAAAATACTTTCTAATATTTGTCAAAATGATAGAAAATATAAAAAAAGATATTACAAATAGATTTCTTATTTTTTGTGCTTTTTTACAGATTTTTTTAAATTTTTTAATATCCTCAAGTTGTACCCCCAACTCAAGACAACACTGATTTTTCATACAATGCTATGGATAACAAAAATTCTCTATTTCTAACCAGGGAGAGAATTTGATGAGCATTTTTTATTTCTAGAAGATACGATTTCAGAAGTCGCATCTTTCAATAATGAAACACCTCCTTGTTTGATAACAAGGAAATTTTATCATAAACTGTATATCGCACTATCCACTTGCTTTTACATTTAAGACTAAAAAGTGGATATCAGTGAATTTCATAGGGGAGCATAGAACTCGGCATATCCACTTCCATAGAAGACATGAGTTCTAAAACCACATCGTCCATAAATCAAACAAGTTAAAACCAAATTCTTCCCCTCCCCATTTCTATCTCTTGGAAAGAGTATTGCTATTTCTCCAACATTTAAGGGTCCCACATTGTAGTAGACACGCCTAAGTTAATTATAGTCCTTTTTATTTTTCAGTGGAGGGGGTATATGTGTTGGTTCCTTTGTGTTTGGTTTATCTTGTATGACTTGGAACCTGCACTTTCCACGTACAACAAAAGGCTTTTAGTACATCCATTGCCTCAAGCCAGTTCGAAGTTCGAGCAGATCTTTTTTTTTTTACTTGAGAATATAAATATGAGTTTGTATGTGGTGATCCCCTAGGAGCATACATATACTTACTCCCTCGAACAGAACACTTACTGGGGAAAAGTAATTTTTTTTTAAATAAAATAATTTGGATTTTGAGTTTTTCAACATTTTAATCTCACCGTTCAAAAATTAAATCGTCTCTATTGAATCTCATAACATTAGCTTTTTAAGACCCACAAATAATTTTACTTGGAGATTCTTTCAATTGAGATTATCCTATTAAGAAATTTCACACCCAAAATTTAGGGTCCGAAAAACACTTTTAGAGTGGGTTTTACTTGATGGAGTAATTGGACAGTATGCTCCCATAGGGGCATAAAATATTTTATCTATAAATATTATCTTAGTTTGATGACATGTAATAAGCGCTCTACCTGCTTATAAATGGTGGGAAATGGCCCATCCAGCAAGGGCGGCAATGGCCGGGGACCTTGGCCCAAGCCCAGCCCTTGTCCTCATAGGTCCAGGCCAAAACAAAATGAAGAAAAAATAATAAAAAAAGAAGATGAGGCTGGGCTTCGGGTCAATACTAGCCCTAGTCTAACTTTTGGGCCGCAGTTTGTAGCCCAAGCCCTACATTTTTAGACCCGGGCTACCCGGTCCATTGCCATCCAGACTATTGAGGTAATTTCATGTTAACCAAATGAAGGAATAATTTCCCTTAACGCTTCGTAACTTATGTAGTAAAAAGCTATATGCTCCCGCGGGTCCGGTATTCAGTCCCTTTGGTAGATCGGCAAGAGTATTTTTTTTTGGAGTACCATGAAGACTCCAAATTTCAGGGACATGGCCTCCTCATACCAGTGTACCAACCCCAATTAGAAAAAACAGGTGAAAAACTAATACCTCAATTTAGACAAAAACACGTGAAAAAATAATGTTTTAAGATTGTACAAAGACCGAGCAATTAAGAACCAAGACTCTTAGTTCAATTGAAATCGGCAATCGAACCAGTGAGGGATTTAGTTCAATTGAAATCGGCCGGATAAAGCGGCAATCAAACCAATGAGGGATTTAGTTCAATTGAAATCGGCCGGACAAATTGGTGAGGGATTTAATTCAATTGAAATCGGCCGGACTGCTAATCAAACTAATCGGACTA